GGGGGGGGGGGGGGGGGGGGGGGGGGGGGGGGGGGAGGAGGTGATAGGGAGGGGATGATATTGTTTACGTCAGCAGGAGGTGGTCAGGGATATATGAGGACGAAGTCTGTTGGCTGGTGGACGACTTGGAAGTGGTGCGGAGGCCTTCTTTCCCATAGCCTCTCAAAAAGGAGCCAGGGATGCCATGTGAGAGTGTTATCATCATTGAGAGTGCAGAGTCTGTGGTTTGGATCAGTCCATGTCTCTGCAAAGCTGTTTGTTAGTCCTTGTTTTTTTCTCAATGTTAGGCTCAATGGCTACGTTATTGTGCAGTTCTTTCCAGGCAGCCTGAGTGTAGGCAGAGATCGTGTCTGATATCGCTGAGCGGGCTTGCATAAAGCCATAGTTATGCTGTTTTCTCTCATAGGAGCATCGCATCCTCCATGCTGCCATGAGCACGCTTCGTCTTGAGAATGTGAAAAGATTAGTCATGAACGGGGTCCATATCCCGGATGCAGTCGGGGGGGTCCCTAGTAATAGGGTGGGCACCTCCCAGGGGAGGTGATGACCTGTGAGGTAGTGCCACGCTGCATCCCACCATCTCCACAGTTGGAGCACCACTACTATTGCTAACTTGGGTGAGATGGTGAGTCGTTATCCATCAGTCAAATGCTTCCTGGGCAAAAACTATTGGGGTTCAAGCTCCTAGTAATGAGTTGATGAAGAAAGGCTGACAAAACAGTCTGACACATCCATGCTTTTTTGTTGGAGTTGTGTATAGAGGACATGACAACACACCTGATGGTCCTTCCGGCGAGAGTGGTTGGAGACACTCGAAGAGGCTCGCCATAGTAGTCGTAACTGTAATGATATCGGGCGACTTCCTGATTGGGGTCATCCATCATGCATGAAGTTAATTGGAACCATACGGCTTGGATCCACTACTCACCAAATGTACAAAATGAGAATGAATATTCTGCCGGAACGTGGAAAGATAAGACACACGCAACACCACCCAGGCACGTGTCGCACTCTAGCTCCATCAAGCACATGACCTCAATCCACGAGGGCACACAGGACCATCCACAATATCGACAGCTTCACACTATGGGGGATGCGAACCCCAAGGCCCATACAGAGAAGATTAGCATATCTCTGCACAAGGATGATACACATAAATAGACAACACACTTTACGAGTCCCGCTGAAACAGTCTGGCAAAGTCGTGCTCTTTTTCTGGAGTTAACGAACAATGTCATGACAAAAGTCAAACCATGGCACAGTCTGGCACAGTCATGTTTTTTTGTTTTTCAACTTTTTTGGACCATGTCAACTATTATCAAGCACATGTCATTGACCTCAAACCATGAGGGCACACAGCCCCATCCCGCCACAAAATCCACAGCTTCACGCTAGTAGGGGGGATGCGACCCCGAGGCCCAGACCGAGAAGATTAGCATGTCCCTGCACAAGGATGAAGGATGATAGCTCAGCTGGTAAGGCGCGCAAGTGGCATTCAGGAGGTCTCGGGTTCAATCCCCATTGGTCTCATTTACCTTCCTGGGCAAGTTTGGCGCCCGCCACCTTGAGATAGGCCATTGGTTCGCCCAAGCGGCATAGAGCAGAGACTGCTGATGTTCGTATAGGGGGAGGGGACAGGAGGGGAGATGTAGCAACTGGCCCGTCGAAGAAGCTCGGTCCTGATGCTACCGGCTGACCCCTGCCTGGTATCACCCACCTGCTGGAGCAGGTATCGCACCCGCTCGACAGGTACTTGAATGGGTTGCGCGCTTAAAAGAATTGGCCTTGAACCACTAGTACCTTTGTGCGGAAAATAGCGGGCCTCCGACCTTTCAGGAGGCCGAAACGAAACGACGGCAGCCGTCGTCCGGCCCGACCTCCGAATTCTTCGGGAACTGGTCTTTTCCCTAATTTCTGAAGTGGCATTTGGGCCTCCCTCCACTACTCTCCACTGTCTGGAAATTCGATAGTAGGCGGACAGTTGTTGAACTCTCCGCAATATGGTTTTTTCCATGACCGCTGCACTTTCTATCCAGGCTCCTCCTACTCTCCGATTCCTGAGTTCACTAGCAGACATCGTGACAGCAGCAGCAGATGAAAACACGGCATCATCACCATTTTGTCCGCCCAGACTCCAGGCACAGTCTCCAAATCCAAGGTCCGACGTTCTTCAAAGGTCTATCCGCGTAACGAATTTTGCAGGCTGGGCACTCTCCCTGGTCCGACGCTCCTCAAAGGTCTGTCCGCGTAACGAATTTTGCAGGCTGGGCACTCCCCGCCCATGGAGAGTGCTTTTCTATGGTGATTTCTGACAGGTATCCGAGGGTTTTTGGCTGGTGGAATCGGATAGTTAATGCAGCTGCCATGAAAAACTCTCCTGAATCTGAGAGTGGAGAATAGTGCAGCAAAACCCTAACCGAGACTGCGACATAGGGCATAGGGCATCGCTCCCATTCTCCCCACATGCAAAAGCGACAAAAATCATGGCTGTCTATCTTTCTATTTTCTAGTGGAAGATTCACTCTTGTTTTGCACATCTGGAGCTAGGCCCATAGTCTCTGTATGCCTCCAATTTTAATGTATGTCCCCAAGGAGGAAACAGTGCGGTACAGTCTTTTTTTTTCTTTTTTTTTTTTTGTACTGGGCTCATAACAAGGCACAGTAAAAAACAAGGATTGCAAACATTATGATGGTTGGTGATCCAGTGTGAAGGACAACAACATTACTCAGTCTGAGTCAGTCATAATAGTAACAGATACACCTGTTCCTTCGGAACATCTGTTAAAATTGGAACGATACAGAGTCATGGCCCCTGCGCAAGGATGACACACATAAGTCGAGAAATGGTTCGGAAAAAAAAAAACCCTGGGGTGAGTCGGTGAAAGTCCGAGGAAATGGTGTGGCACAGGGCGTCGCTGCACTACTCTTGAAATGCACAAAAGACAAAAATCGTGGCCGTGTATCTTTCCATATTCTAGCGGAAGATTCACTC